CCTACTACCCCTTAGAGAGCAGGAGAACTCATCATTTTCTGGTAGGTAGGCAGGCTGCTGGCCCACCAGGATGCAGGATAAACAGATTCAACACTTGGCAGCAAGTCATCATGGGACAGAGAGCAGGTGTTGGTTAGATGGAGTCACAGTGGTGAGAATGGGTGGAATGGGATAATTCACAGATGGCAGGGCTAAGCCTTTATATATCTTGTAGGGAGATAAGACCCAGTGCCCAGAAGGTTCAGAGGGCTTGGGGTAGGAAAAAGAGGGAGGGAGAAGCAGGGGAGGGCAGGCACTGACTGGAGGAGGAGTGTGGAGGTAGAGGCTCTGGGGTGTACCCCTGCAGGCTTGCTTCTTGCTTCCTCAAAATATTTGTTATTCTCCACACCTCCAGGATCTAGCAGGAGGCTGTTCATGCATCTTCATTAGCTCCTGGATTATATTCTCTTGACCCAAGCCTCACTTTCCCCACTGTATCCAGAGTGTCACTCCCAAGGCCTCAGGAAAGGAAAAAGAAAACATTTCTGATTTTCGTCTGAGACTCAAAGATTCAGGACTCAAGTCTTTTTTTTTTTTTTTAAAGATTTATTTTTTTAATGGGCAGAAGAGCTAAAAAGAAACTTCTCTGAAGAGGAAATGCAAATGGCCAACAGACATATGAAAAAATGTTCAACATCACTTGCCATCAGGGAAATGCAAATCAAAACTACCATGAGATACCATCTCACACCAGTGAGAATGGCACATATTAAAAAAACTAGCAACAGCAAATGTTGGCGAGGATGTGGAGAAAAAGGAACTCTTGTGCACTGTTGGTGGGAGTGCAAACTGGTCCAACCACTATGGAGAGCTGTGTGGAGATTTCTGGACCTACTAAACATAGAGCTTCCATATGATCCAGCAATTCCACTCCTAGGTATTTACCCAAAGGACACAGAAACATCAATTCCAAAGAGCACCTGCACTCCTATGTTTATAGCAGCACTGTTTACAATAGCTAAGCTTTGGAAACAACCCAAATGCCCAAAAATAGATGACTGGATCAAGAAGATGTGGTACATATATACCATGGAATATTACTCAGCATTCAAAAAAGATAAACACATGCAATTTGCAGCAACATGGATGGCACTGGAAGGGATCATGCTCAGCGAAATAAGCCAAAAAGAAAAAGAAAAATACCGGATGGTCTCACTCATAGCAGGAATCTAGAAAACTTAAATAAGGGACCAGGAAAATGAATATAAGAAAGTGAAAATCAAAATCAACAAAAACTATGAACCAGAGACACTTTTTGGGGGGTGGGGAGCGGGAGGGGAGGGATTGGGGTCAGAATGGGGCGTTTGCAATTGTATGGGGGAATATAAAAATAAAATCTAATATTTGAAAAAAAAAAAAGATTTATTTTTTTAATTTATGCATACTTATGCATATAAGAACTGGGGTGCACTAAAGATGGAGCTTCTATATGATCCAGCAATTCCATTCTTAGGTATTTACCCAAAGGACACAGAAACATTAATTCCAAAGGGCACCTGCACCCCTATGTTTATAGCAGCACTATTTACAATAGCTAAGCTTTGGAAACAACCCAAATGCCCCAAAATAGATGACTGGATCAAGAAGATGTGGTACATATACACAATGGAATATTACTCAGCAATCAAAAAAGATAAACTCATGTAATTTGCAGCAACATGGATGGCGCTGGAAGGGATCATGCTCAGCAAAATAAGGCAGAAAGAAAAAGAAAAATACCAGATGGTCTCACTCATAGCAGGAATTTAGAAAACCTAAATAAGGGACCAGGAAAAAGACTAATTATAATAAAGTAAAAATCAAAATCAACAAGCAACTATAAACCAGAGACACACTATGAGGTGGGGAGGAGGGAGTAAGATCAAAATAAGGGGGGGATGGGAATTGTATGGGGACTATAACCAAGATGAAAATGCACACATTGTGCAGAAATGAAAAATGATGTAAAAAATAAAAAAATAAAAAGAACTGGGGTATAGGCCAGAGGTGCAGAGGGTGATAAGATTCACTAGAGACAGAGTGGGAAACTGAACAGGAGGATTGACTAAAATACACTGTTGAGGGGAGCAGCAGATAAGACAGGAGAGGTCTGCTGCGCCATATGTGGGTCAGCTCTCTGGCCGGGATCGAAATCAGGCCACAGCAGTAATGGAGTGATAGTGCTGAGACTTAACCCCTACGCCACCAGGGAGGTCCCTGAGGGACTCTTGAAAATTAACCTCCTGGGCCTCCCTGGTGGAGCAAGGGGTTAGGACACAACCTGTGAAGCTGTCCACAGCCTCTGCAGCATGAGTTCGATCCCCAGCCACCGGCCAGGGAGCAACCCACATGGCACAGCAAACCTCTCCTGTCTCGCCTGCTGCTCCCCTCAGCAGTGTATTTAGGTCAGTCTGCCTGTTCTGTTCCCCACTCTGTCTCTGGTGAATCCTCTCCCCGCCCCCGCCTCCCGCCTGTGCCTCTGGCCTGTACCCCAGTTCTTGTATGCATAAATAAATAAATTAAAAAAAAATTAACCTCCTACCTCCTCCTAACAGACAGGGGAACCAAGACCTTGGAATGGGGAGAGTGGAAGGGACTTGCCTGGAGTCACACAAGGAAAGTCAGAAACAAGACCTGGGGGGCTGGGGGCTGGACAATGAATCCAGGACCTCTACCCCCAGTTGGGGGTGAAATGTCCCAGTCCTCTGTTCTAGTAGCACTTTCTTCAGGGCTTTTAACCTCCCCTTCCCTTTTCTATGTGTCCTCCTGAGAGTCCAGATGATTGGTTTGTGTCTAGTTCTGGCTCAAGCTGACCTCCACTTGGCACCACTGGGAACTGAGAGGAATCTGATGCAATGTGCCCTTCTCACACCTGTGTTTGTCCTCTGCTCGCTGGGGTGCAGTGTGCAGGGTCTGCAGGGTGTCAACTGCTGGGGCCTGTGGGCCTCCATGGTTGGTTGACTTGATGGATGGATTAATGGCTGGGTGGGTAGGTGGTGGGTGGGTGGGTGGATGGATGGATGGAAGTCTAATGGATGCAGAGACAGCTAGATGGATGGATGGGTGAATGCATGAACGGATGGGTAATTTCCCCTGGGTAGCCAAGCCAAGCTTCCTAGCCATGAATGTTGCGCTTGTAAACTATTCCCATCCTTCCCACGCCTTGTGATTCCAGACATGGGATGTCTGAGGTTTTGAATACCTACTTCTGGGAGCAGAGGGGAGCAAGAGGCTGCCATGCCTCAGTTCAGCGAGGAGGGGTTGGCACAACCCCCTCACCATGTCCCCCTTCCCAGGGAAGCTGCACAGGCTTGCACAGACCTGGTTTTGTTATCAGATTAGGCACATCTGGTATGAGGCCCTTCTTTCTAAGTAAGGATACTCACAGCCTGGTGTCCTAGCTGCCAGCCAACACCAGCAGCATAGATTTGTTGTTCCCAAAAGCAACCCTAAGAGGCTGCAGTTGAGAAGTCCCTTGCCCCAAGGGACTTGAATCACAGGGCTTTCCCCCATCCCATAGTTTTTATTTTTAAAAGATTTATTTATTTATGCATACAAGAGCTGGGGTACAGGCCAGAGGTGTGGGGCGTGAGAGGATTCACCAGAGACAGAGTGGGGAGCAGAACAGGCAGACTGACTGAAATACACTGCCGAGGGGTGCAGCGGGTGAGACAGGAGAGGCCTGCTGCGCCATGTGGGTTGCTCCTTGGCCGGCCGGGAATCAAACTCATGCTGCAGAGGCTGCGGATTGCTTCATAGTGTGGTGCTTAACCCCTTGCGCCACCAGTGACCCCCGCCCCCCATAGTGATTTTTAATCTCCCCCTTTCCCTATGACTCTCCTGGCCAGGGAGACCTTGGTCCTGGGCCTATGTCTCCTGGCTGCTCCTTCTTCCACCCTCTGGGCTCTCTCCCATCTCTGACCTCTGGTTCCCAAATCTGTCAGTATCCCTGAGAAACAAGGCTCCAGGACTGCTCACATGGGACTGGACCTGGACCAGACTGACTGAGCCAGAGGACAGAGCTGACCTGCAGGTCAGATTCTGTGTGGATAGATAGACCTTCATCCCTGCTGCCAAGCCTTTCCTCACATATTTATTCATTCTCAAGACAAATATTTACTGAGCAACTACCTTATGCCAGTAAGTGTGCTGGACACTAGGAAGAGAGCGAAAGCCAAAATAGACATGAGCCATGTCCACAGACAGTACAAACAAGCAATCATAGCTCGGTGTGAAGCTGCCAAGGGTCCCTGGGAGCTTGGAATGAGGGAGGCTACCTAACCGGGCCTGGAGTCAGGGACGGCTTCCTCGAGGGAGACCTGTCTAGATCCTGGTGAGAAGCCACGTGGAGAACTGTTCCAGACAGAGGGAGCAGCATGGATGATGGATGGCTACTTTCCCCATGTCATTAGAAGTAAGTGGCTTGTCCCTCCCCCCAGCCATGAGAGTGGGTTCACAACTACCTTCCCCCCAGTGACACCTGATCCCCAAGACATCTGGATGCTTGAACACCTGCCCTGGGGAGAAAATCTGAGAGGCATGAGAGAGTTTGGCTTATTCAGGGAACTGTCACTGAACCATGGAGCATGACAGGACTCTGAGGAGACAGCAGGCAGGGCCCTGACTGTGGGGGCTGGAGGAGAGAACACTGTTAGGCGGAGGTAGGTGAGGAGGTTGCTCAGGCTACAGGGTGGAAAATATATCCTGCCATTCCATCCCCCCTTCCTCCCCTAGTCCTCCCGGACAGACATCACGCACACAGCACTCAGATCTGTGGGGAGTGGCCTTTATTGGAAGCATTGCAGTCTGGGCAGCGAGAAGCCGTGCTGCTTCTGTGTTCACGCCGCACTGACTCCGCTGGCTCACGCCTGCACGGAGCAGCTGGAGGGCCGGTTCCTCCCTTCGGGCCCTTGGCTCTTCAGGGCCGTGGTGAGGCACATCCCTTCACTCAGACACAGGGCTCCTTCTGGGATGGTCTTGGGTTAACTGCTGTGGTGCTTGTTCTGGGGGAGAAAGGTCAGGCAAGGTCATGGGCTGGGGTCTTGGGCAGGTCTCAGAGAGAGGAAGAGGAGCTGGGAGGTCAGACTTGCCTTGGCAGAGTTCTTCTGCAGTCTCCGGATGATGCGGTTCACCCAGGGCTGGTCTGGGGGTGCACAGAGCTGACGACCTCTCAGTGTGGTGAACCTGGAGCCAGAGACAGAGAGAATGGAGTGTTGGAACCCGGCTTGCTGGGCAGAGGCTGGGGTCCATATCTGGGAGCCTGTTTCAGGGAATTCGCTGAAGGGGTTGGACTTGGCAGGAAGAGAGAGAGCAGGTGGGGGTATCGCCAGGGGCTGAGCCGGGAGAGGAGGTAGATGGGCTGCTCCCCATAACTCACACCACAGCAGGCACTCTGCAGCCATCCTTGATGAGCAGGTGGCGGAAGGCACGCACAATGTACCCAGGGATGGGGCGCTGCGTCACAGACAGGCAACAGTCTTCCGCATCGTTGGCCCCACCCAGAGCTGGGGTAGGGAAGCGAAAGAAGGTAGGATGAGCACAGGGGCCCTGGGAGGGGAAGCCCTAACTGGGATTAAGGACAACTCTGTGTGTGTGTGTGTGTGTGTGTAGGCTGCCACACCGGTGTGCACTAATGTGGCCCTGCTGGTTGCCAAATGTATTGAGGTCTTTTTAAGCCTTTTGGTAAAGGGTCACTGCTCTGAGCACCACATAGGTCTCCCTGCTGCCACAATAACCCCAACTTCTCTCCCCAGAGCTCTCAACTTCCCCACAAGTGAAGAGTTAATGCTGGTCACAGCATTGGTGTGGGAGGGTGGGGGTGGAGGTTAGGCCCAGGCCCAGGAGACAGGTGTTTAAGGCCTTATGACGCAGTAAATATTTTGATGCCTAGTCTTAGTGTCTCCCATTTCCCCACCCCTCAAACAAATATATGTTGTTCTCTCCTTCTGCCTGGGAATCTGAAGCAGCAGGAGAGAGAGCCTGCAGAGAGAAGGACAGCCATAGCCCCTGGGACACAACAAAAGACAGACACATGGGAATCCAGGGGCCCAGATACACCTACACTCATAGGGCCCAGGGAACCCCCTGTTCACCAAAACATGAAGCCCTAACTCAGTGTCACATCCAGTGCTAGGTAGTCTGAGATCTAGAACCCCCATCCCTCTCCCCCACACTGCCCCCCCAGCGTCCCCTCAGCCTTACCAGGGGAGGGCCCAAGAGCCAGCAGACTAAGGGCCAGCAGTGCGGCTGTATGGGGCGCCATGGAGCGTGAGCAGAGCAGGTGGACAGCAGCGGGTGAGGATGAGCTTCCTGAGGATGGCGGGATCTCAGGCGTGTGCAGTGGCAGGTGCGAGGCTGAGACTGGGAGGGAGAGGAAGCACTGGGGAGCGCACGGCTGTCCTTGCAGCAGAGAGGGGACCTGCGGATGTAAGTGTGAAAGGCTGTGTGAGCCTTCAGGCTGCGACTGCCTCTTATTTATAGCCCAGAACTTTTGCTTTCTCTGTTGAGAAATCCCCCTCTGTGGATTCCCCTTTGCCCCCCTTTCTGATGGAACCTGACCCAGCCCTCCCTCTCCCCCTTCAATTGCTTCCCCCCTCTTTGCTTTCTTTGGCTTTGGCTCTGAGAACCTAAGCAGTTTGCAGCATGGCCGAGACTCACGAAGAGTCTGGTGCTGTCAGCTTCAGAGAAAGGAGCTGCACCTCCCTGGTGGCCTTTGCATTACCCGCCATAGGGCTGGCTTTCAGAGGTGATGGTGGGATTGAGGGGCCGGTGAGGAGTGTGCCCCCTTCCCTAGATTCATCATGCCTGTCATTACTTTCTCTCTGGTGCTGCTGGGGGTGAAAAAGGTTCCCTGGTGCCCTGAGAAGATGTGTGGAGCCTGAGGTAGCCCTTCACCCTAAGATATGCAGTGCCCGCCCATCCATCATCTGGAAACTAGTGTCCTGGCTCAGTCATCTCTGCTCCTGCCTCTAGTTACCATATTCATACGTCCAGCACCTAGAACAGCTGCAGGGAGCCCCCTTCATTTTCCCCTTCTTCTTGATCCTGGAAACCAAAAGGGGATTTCTAAGGAGAGGGGTTGGCCAGCTCATAATCAGACAAATCCCCAAATTTCAAGGAATTGACAAATGGGGGAGGGGACAAGTGATTTCCCATCTTTATGAGATAGACCAGAGATAGACCAGAAGAGGTCTCAAAAGAGACGTTAATCTGTGGGGCACCCCTGCTACCACCCCTTCTGTTGGATGGGGTTGTGTATATGTGGTGTGTTTCCCTCCTAAGTTTCTGATTTATCTTTCTTTCTAACCATTAACGATAGAAAGAATAACACTATCTCTGATCGTTTACTATGTGCTAGGCTCCTTAACGAGGACCTCTCCACGATCACCTTACTTAACATTCCTATCAGTCATGGAGTAGTTTTTGTTGTTATTAATATTGTTGTTTTGTTTACAATCATCTAATGGATGTTCCAAAACACACTTCACCTGACTACAGGTGAATTTCGTGATGATGGAAGCTGATGAACCACCCACCCAAATAACCACATTATTATTCGAAATTTCCAGAAGCCAGGATACTGACCAGAAAGACTCAGTTGGAAACAACACAGTCCCTTAGCCAGAGAGGTTCCTCAGGATTCTTACCTTTCTCTTCTTTCTCCTCTTCTTCCTCCCCTAGGGGTATGGATGCTCGGATGGGAGAAGGAGGTCGGGGGTCTCATTGCCACAGTGTAACAGAGTGCCATGGACCTACATCCCAGATGCAGGAAGAAGTCACAGAGGCACATGCCTGCTCGATAAATAAATAGATAATTCCCAGAAGCCACCATGGGGGCTAGCAGGCCCAGGGACCTGTTATTACCAGCACATCAGCATAGGGTCCCAGAGCATCTCGTTGGAGTTGCAGTCGACCCACCAGGTAGGCTGTGGAGGGCACAATGTGCTCAGCGTGGTTCTGCAGGGCCAGATGTAAGGTGCATAGGTGTTCTGCCACTGCTCCTGGAGCCACACCTTGTATTTTATCTTCCTCATCTTCAGATACTTGCGGTACCTTGGCATCTGTCAGGAGTCAGTGAGGCGGGCCTCAGAGGTGTGCAGCTGACACCTGGCACTGCATCTGCATCTCACACACCCTGCCTGAGTAGGGGTTAACTGTCCACCTCGACTTCTGTGGCCTGGCCACCCATTCCCCATGTCCTGTATGGTCTGGATGTTTGTCCACCCTTGGTGTCTTGATAGATTTGAAAGAGTTGCTGGACCTCACAGTTTTGTAGGACCTGTTCCGCCTGGACTAGGAATATGATGGCTCCCTAGACCCAGGCTGCTCAGGGTGCTTATTGGTTTTCTCTGGTACCATGTTCCACTAGGCTATATTCTGGAGGTCCCTGCCTGGCATCTTACTGGGAGATTGGTCAGGCCCAGCAGCATATGGGGAAGAGCTCCACCATAGTTCCTCTCAGAGCAGAAAGAGGGCAGTGACCAGCTGCACCCTGGCCATGCTGACTAGAGCCACACAGCACCTACAAAGGCATGATCGTCCAGGGGTTCTGGCACTGTTCATCAGAAACTCTGGAGTCAGAGCCAGCAGCAACACTTCCTCATTCAGGATGGATTTGTTCTGGGAGTGACTGAAGACCACAGTGTACTCCTTGCCTGGGGAGGCCTGTGTGGCTCACTTTCAGCTTTTCCCATATGGACTATGCAAACTGCTGGGGACAGGATGTTGGCCTTTGGGCTCTGGGGTTGGATGAAGCCAGCTATACTGGTGTGAGGTAGTGATCTTGGAGAGGCCCACAAAAGCCTGGGAGAAGCACAGCAGCTGGCTCAGGGTCTTCAACTGTGCTAGCAGCAGTGGCTGCTTGGGACTGAGAAACTTGTTGAAGTCCAGCTTTGTGTCTTCCATGAAGTGTGGGTCTCATGGGCCAGGCCAGGGAACTGCACAGGTTATAGGAGAGAGGGGGGCAGGTCACCGTGAAGACATGCATGGGGTGGTGGGGTTGAAGTGGTTGGCAATGGTGGTAGTGTCAGGGCATGAATATTGGCTTGAGCAAGAAGCTCAGAGTGGCTGCTGGCAGTGTCATGAAGTAGAAGTGCCAGGTGTTGTGGTCCTCCATGGTGCACAGGGTGAGCGTGGCAGGCTGGCAAGGCTGGGCACGATGCCCAGGTGGGGCAATGGAAGGGTATGACTGACTGCAAGATAACCTCCTTATCTCACTGGAGCAGCATCATTTGAAGTGGCAGATGTGATTGGTGTGTGTGTGGCCAGTGCGTATCTCTCCATCGGGATCTGCAGGACCTCTGGGTAGTCAGTTCTCAGCTTTGGGCCTGGCACTAGGGCCTGTGGGCCTGTAGGCCTGTGGTCAGCTCCTTCTCCAGAGAGGCTACACACTCATGCCACCACACATACTTCCATAGGACAGCCACTGGCACAACCCCAGGGGCACTGTATGCCACCATGAGATGTATCTTAATGCCACCGTGCAGCTACTGGGAAGTGCCACAGTCCTTTCCCTATCCCTGCAGGCAGCCTGAGTACTCAGCTAAAGCCTGGTTTCTGTGAGGTTGAAGCCACCTCTACAGAAGCTACCTCTGCTCTTGCAGCAAGGTGGGCAGCCTAAGGAGCTGGCTTAAGCCAAACCCACCACCTCTGCCATATCCAGTGCCCACTCCCAGCCTGCAAGGACTGGGTTTACCATGCCCTCTGAACTCGTGGGTACTGCAGTGCACCTGCTCAATCTGGGAGCCCGACATGTCCAAATTTTTGTTTATCTATTATTTTTCCTGTTTTCCACATAAGGAATGAGTCTCAGCAGGCAAGTTCACATGGCAAGGGTCTTGACCTGGGTATCCTTTGCCCTAGATTTACACTCTTCACTATTGTCTTCCTTGTCCCTGGATCACAGGGCAGGACAGAGGCGTGAGACTGCAGCTGGCAGACCCAGAGCAGAATTCAGACTCCACCACTGGCTAGCTGTGTGACCAAGTGCACACTATTCAGTTTCTGCATCTTAATGTCATAATCCATAAAATAGGAATGGTTGTAATTCTATATTTTAGGATTAAATGAGGTAATTGAGCAAAGCCCTTAGTTAGCAGCTAGCACACAATCAACGCTCATTCAAAAATGACCATTATTATTATTCTGTCTTTTCACTCTGATATGTGTCAATACATCTATCTACCCTTCTTTCTACTGATCCATCCTTCTGCGCATGGTGGTTCTGATTAGTCCCTGTTGCCATACCCTTCATTCTCCACTCATCTGTGGAAGGTCAACCTCTGCAGATGTAGTCACTCACTATCCCTTATTCTTTAGCTTCTGTTTGGGTTTGGCTCATGCAGTTGGCAGCAGGAAATCAGTGGGTGATAGGAGAGAGAGGCTGGGGGCATCAGTTCCCTAATCCTTCATCTTGATGCGGGCCTTGCAGTGAACAGCATCTTCTGGAGCTTGTTAGAAATGCAAATTCTTTTTCAGGTCCTACTTCAGACCTATAGGAGTAAGCTGTGTTTAATACCTCCTCTAGATGACTCTGCTACATGCTGACGTTTGAGGACCATTGATTTACAGCTGCGATCCTTTTGGATTGCTCTTCTCCATGGTTCTATCTCTAATGCTCCTGGAACACTGTTCCCTCCTTTTGCCCCCTCAGGCTTCGCTGTGTTTTTCCACTATTTTTGTTAAGCCCTGGGTGCCTCTCCATCCTGTGTTTGTTCCTTAATCCTGACCCTACCTCTCAAACAATCCCTTTATTGATGTCTTTCTGGTTAAAATTTTTTGAGTGTGCCACCTGTTTTGTTGGCTTTTTTTTTTTTTTTTGGCCAGGATTCTGACTAAGAGCAGAAGAGATCTCAGGTAAAAGATTCCCCAAATCCTAGTGGTACGTTGCTCATAGATTTGATGAGTGCATGGATAATCTCCTTGCGAGGCAGAAAGGGGACTAGTAATTTGAAGCACGCAGAAACATTACAATCACTTAGACTATCACCAGTGAGATGTGTAGTGGATAGAGGAATAAGACATTGGGAGATAAAATACCTGAAGCGCCTAGTTGCTGTGGCCATAAATGGTGGTTTCAAGTGGTGATTACATATATTTTTGGCGTACTGCTAGTTTCTGATTGTGCTAGCAAAATTACATCTAAAAAGATAAGATTAACAACAAACAACTATGAACCAGAGACACACTATGAGGGGTAGGGGACGGGGAAAGGAGGGAGTGGGTTAAAATAAGGGGGCTGCAATTGTATGGGGAATATAAAAA